CACGGACTGAAATTGTTAATTCTTCCATAAAGAGATCTTATTTGTGGCGGTCTATGACAGTATTGAAGCTAACCGAGAACATGCGATTAAAATTGCCTCATTCTGAAGCATCGGCCAGGTTAGCAATCTCAAATTTTAGCAAATGGCTTTTGGAAATTGGTGATGGTACAAATAGTAATATTTTTGGAGAATCAATTATCCCGATACCTCTACACATTTGTGTTCCCCGTCGCAGTGATCCAATTCCTGATATTGTTGCTGAAATATATGGGCAGTTACTCTCCACTGAAAATATGTCAACCTATTTGGTTGAGCGAGCTATCTTAGCCCCTCATAATGACACTGTTGCGGCCATTAACAATTATGTATTGGGTCTATTTCCTGGTGAAGAAGTTTCTTATTTTAGTTCGGATTCGCTAGAGATTGATGCCAAGAATCAGCATGTTGAAGAAGGGGACTACACAGTTGAATTCTTGAACTCTTTAAAGATTGGGAATTTTCTGGAACATGAGTTGAAATTGAAGTTGGGGTGCCCTGTTATTGTGCTTCGAAATCTGGATCAGAGTACTGGGCTTTGCAATGGAACTCGGATGATCGTTAAGAGATTAGGTAAGTGGTTTATTGAGGTCCAAATTTTGACCGGGACACATGTTGGTGATACAGTTTTCTTACCATGCCTAAGTCTATCGGTCCACTACAAGAGCTTAAATTTCACTCTGGTTCGAAGGCAATATCCAATTGCACTGTCATATGCAATGACAATTAACAAGATTCAAGGTCAAACATTAAATCACGTTGGCATCTGCTTGCAAAGACAAGTATTTTCTCATGGACAGTTGTATGTTGCTATGTCTCGAGTTACGTCGGAAAGGGGACTCAAGATTCTTAGCTGTGACTCTCAAGGTAAACCGGTGAAGACTATGCAGAACATTGTGTTCACTGAGATTTTTGAGTAGTGGTTTATTGATGTATTATGTTTTATTCGATTTGAGGACTAAGACTGTCAAATTTATCGGGTCGTTACAATTTGAATCTTGAGTTCTCAATTTGTCCAAATTATTTTCCTGTTTTTAACAGCCAATTATATGAAATGTGATTTATGCACACTACTTTATATTTAATTGTACCTCAATTTACTCTACCGAAGGGTATGCGAGTGTGACCGTTATATTGCAATACGAAGAAGAACTTCCATAGTCGCAACTGAACTAAACTAAATTAACACCACAACCCAGCCCACAAAACAACCCAAGCATGGTTCAGTTAAATAAAATATAGTTAGAGAGGGAATGCCCAGCCGGATTTGTTGAAACTAAATGGCCAACCTATTCCCATAAAAAAAAAGGCCAACCTACACTACCTTGGGCGGATCCTTCTCCACTCCCCCACTCCCCCACCTCCTCTACTGCCCAGTATCCGATTTTTTTGGATCTTCTATGAGGTGAAGGCTGCCGCATTCCAAGCCATTATTTCTTTATTAAATACATTCATTATGATTTTCATTTCATGTTAATTAGTGGTGGTGTGGGCCGGGCCGGCCGGGTTGGCGCATCAAATAATAATTAGCAACTTTGAGAGGCAATTTTGGACAAGAATTGTTGACACAGTCGCAATTAGCAATGTTGTTAAAACGGAACCGGACATCGATCCAGATTAGTAAAGGGTTCAAGGTTTATCAAATAACTGGTGGTTAATCGATATTAAAAACCGATCATAAACCGGTGTTGACTTACTTGGTAGATTTAACAATTATTATTTTTTTACAATTATTGTTTCACTTATTAGAGATAAAAGAATAAAGTGAGAATTATTAAAACTGAAAAAGCATAATTTGGGCGGCTGCTAGGTCTTTTTTGGGAAAAGTGAACTGATTTTTCTTCTCTTTATATTTTATTCTGTACTTACCTTCTTTTGTTTTTGAATTTTTAATTGCAACAAAATAAAAGGAAGGCGCATGTTTGATTTTAAGAAGGTGGGTCGTTCCCCTCAAAAAAAAAAAAAAAAAAGGTGGGTCGTGAGTTCCGTGACACACCCGCCTCTTGAACTCTAAATGGCCAACCTTCTCCACTCCCCCACGAGGCCACAAATCCTTCTCCACTCCCCCACTATCCCACTTTCCACACACACACGTACTCCACTGCATGCGACCAAGTAAATCACGTGTGTAGAATCACTTTCTCTCCTTTATATAATGGAGATACCACTTTCTCTCATGTTACAATTTCCGTTTACTACTTCCCATACAAAACACTTCGGTTCCATTGACCGTGCGAATTGCATTCAATATGGCGGGCCTGCCTCAATTCAATCAGTAAGTACTGCTCATGCATCCAACAAATACTACATCATGTAATTTCGATTCTTTTTCACTACTTAATGCCAAAACTTACAGTCCAATATATAGGCTTCCCCATGGTTTTATTGCTAATCTGCAATATGATGATGCTCTTGAAATTTGTGAGCGTGCCGACACCATCGATCTCATTATGTTGCAAGTGGATGTCGAAAATCAGGTAACTAAACAAATAAATTTCTTTTTAATCGTACGCCTTTTGTGGCATGCTGCATTTTATCGATTTGCTTTGACAATATTCGTTTCTGTGTTTACATCAGGGCACCTCTTTTTTGTTATCCGGACGTGTAACGAATTTGATGACGTCCTGGTCCCCTGCATCCAGAATCCATTTCGTCCACCTCACAATTGAGGACGAATTCATTGGTGTTGGCATCGTCTTCCCGTCATCACAGTTACGAACGATTGTTGAATCTGTATTCAGTCATGCAGATGTTGTCAATGCTGACTATATGGCCCTTTTGAACATGCTTGGAGAACAGACATTTGAAGTCATAGTCACAGTCGGTCCCTGGAACGATGCATTTGGTTATTGTGAACTTGTGTTGGTGAAATTATTTTTTCCTTTGTTGAATTGAGTACCATGTCATGAACAATGAGACAATGTATTGAGTTTTCTTATTTTGGACTTGCATGTTATTTGTCGTAATACTCAACTAGATTAGATTTGTGATTAGTAAAATTTCATGTAAGTATTTTTATTGTGATTAGCTAATCTTCAAATGTATTTCTAACTTATTATGAATGTTCATTCATATTACATGTTCGTCTTCAACGAATTGCAAAATTGCAACAATCTTATGATAATATAAAACAAGACTCATTTCTCGACACTATCATTATAGATATTGTAACTCCATTTCCTTAAACAAATGCGGCCAACGGGCCGGGCTATAGGCTAGTAATAATAATAATTATGAATAACACCCCACTTACACAGTAACTCTCTTCCTTCAGTATCCGCAATGCTCCACCCCTATTCTAGCTCTCTCTGCTCCGATTTCCCCTTGCTTCGCCGCCGACGCCACTCCATCGCCTAATTCGCCGCCTGTCCCTCGGATTCTCCCTCAATTTGCCTCAATAACTCTATTTACTCCTTCACCACTTCAACTCCCTTTGACTGCCCTCCTACATTGTTGTCTCAGTTCCTCCGCCACGGCGGCAGAGAAGTCTTAGTGAGAAGCGACCTGAATTCACGGCAGCAATAGTGGCGCACATCTTCGCTCCAATAGATGGATCGACTAGTGAATCCCTATGAACACGGTACAAATTTTCTGGCGCTACAATTGATTGTACAGCTGCGGCAGTAGTTGTTGGTGGGAGGAAGTGTTGGTCTTCTTCTCTGCCAATTCCATCAGAAAAAGCAAATCACCCAAAAAGTCGCGCTCTTAATTCAGTAGTTCGCGCTCCGATAATACTAAATCCGCGAATTTGGGACATTTTGTCAATAAATCGCGTTTCCACGAACTAGCGCGGGAGCGCCGGCGGTGTGTACACGAATCGTGTGACCTAAGATTATACCAATCCTACATGACCTAATTCGATTCCAAATTATATCTCTATATGGACCATAGGTCAATAGACAAATTAGGAGGTTTAAAAAGAGTTTAGGAACATTCAAGATGGGTGAAAATGGGTCTACAAACAAGACCTACGGGTTAATGGAGAATTGAGGATTTCTTACAACTATCCTTGTCCAACAAGGATTTGGAGGAGATGCTTAATTGTTGTCCATGTTGGTTTAAGAGTCTTTTATTATGTTAGCTTCAGTGCAGTCAAATCGCGCATTAAAACGTAAAAACTTACGTTTTTACGTATCTAGGCCACCAAAACGTTTCAGTTTCTACCTAAAGTTGCTTAGCCACAAAAATTGGTAAAAACATGGGTAAAATCGGTAAAATTGCGATTCTGAAGCGTTTTTATACGATTTTGATCATCTCATAAAAATGTGCTAATTGGCCCAAAATGATGTAATTTTGGAGACATCAGCAAAAAATAAAATAAAAAGAAGACATGATTCATCACGCGTTCTACAACTAGTGTCGAGATAGGGGCTTCACATTAGGTTGAAAAGACACGTAATTGTATTCTCAACAATCGCTGACCTTCTATCAGTCTTCTCCCTTAATCTTCACCTATGGCCCTTACCTGGGTTACGATAAAAGTTTATGGGTAATTGATCGTATGTAATTATGTAAACTCAAACCAGCTTATGAGAATTTTGATTCTCAAGGTCGTTTACGAGTTACGATCTACGTTTATGAGTTTTCTCTACTTTTGAGTCAATTTATGTGTTAGATATTACATTTAAATTATGAATTTCATGTAGTTATTCACTTATCCAAAATCTACACACTCACATTTTACATACTATATGTTGTACTTAACATATTTTAGCTATTTTAGAGGGTGCGTAAAAAACTTATGTTTTTACGCTTTGATTCTACGTTTTACGATTTTACCCATTTCCAATTCTAGGTAGAATCGTGTTTTTAACTGCATTGGTTAACTTTATTTAATTTCTTAAATATGAGTGTTATTTGTTTCCTAGTAGTAGAGTTATTACTTTTCAGTTTCCTAGGTGTGGAAGAAAGTCTTTCTGTTGGGTTAGCCTCTATATAAATAGAAGGCTTGTAGTTCAGTTTTATTCAATTCAGTATTCAGATTTCAATAAGAGTTTTCAAGAGCTGCAAGAAATATTTCCCTGTGATTTCTTAGGCTTATCAACCCCTGGTTGTGGCTCCTTGCCCCGAACCTTATAACCGACTGGTGTGGCGGTTCTTCCTTCATCTAACCTACCAAAAACCCTAAATTTCCCAATTCCTTTCAATTTCCAGCAACCCTAGCTATTTTATTGTTAATTAGAGCAGTTTAGGCACATCAGTTTGGTATCAGAGCTCTGGTTTTTTTAGATTTTTAGTTGATTTTCGTCAAAAAAAAACCCAAAAAACCCCCTATTTTTTAGAGTAACATTCCCTTTAAGAGAAGGAAGGATGAGTGTAGAAATAAAGGTGGAGCCAACCTTGCAATCTCTTCAAGAATCTCTGCTTCAGCTTACTACAACTGTTCAACAATTGGTACAAAACCAACAACTTGACAGAGGTAGGAGTCAACCTAGGAGGGCTGTTCGAGGTGCTCGAATTAACAACGAAGATGAAGAACGAGACCAAAGGAGAGCTACTCATGGAGATATCAAGATTAAAATCCCTCCATTTTTCGGAAAGAGTGATCCTGTAGAATTTTTGGATTGGGTGGACAAAGTTGATTCTACTTTTGAGTGTCAAGACTATCACGAATTCGTCAAGGTTAGTTTCGTTGCAGCTGAACTGTCTGGTTATGCTAGCTTATGGTGGTTGAAAACTAAAGCTCAAACAAGGCACCCTATAGAGGATTGGAAAACAATGAAGACGTTGATGAATGATAGATTTGTGCCAAGCTATTACAAGCAAGATCCATATTGCAAATTTCATAATGAAGAGCAAGAGATTGAGAAGGCAAGATTCATTGATATTGATCAGACTGATGCTTCTTCAAGCTCAATTCGTGGTGAGACTGACAAAAGGAGTGTCAAAGTCGACAAACATATACCTTCGAATGAAGTTTTTTTGCCTTTTTCTCAACCAGAATTCGAAGAAAAAGTTCTTGATGTTGAACTTGCTACTTGTGGAGAGGATGCTCAAGCTTTAATGCCTTTAAAAGAAGAACCAGAACTTGAGATAGAAGGGAAGCCGTTGCCTATCACCAACATGATAATGGCTTTTGACAGGGTAAGTTTAATGGATGTTCCAGAAGAGTTGCCACTTATTCAAGATTCTACCAATCATGTTGAGTTTACCACCGAAGATGGGATTCTACCCAAGCCTGTGTATTACAATGAAGATATAGAGATAAAGGAAAATGTGCTCCGAGTTGACGAAAAAGAAGTTGGGAAAAGAGAAGTGCATTTCAGCTGCTCTAATGAAGAGGAAAAGAATGACTTGTTGGGTTGCGCTATATTCTTGCCAAGAGGAGTCCAAGACAAGTCATCAACTATTAGAGTAGATTTGGTCATTAAAGATAGGCGATTATGCTACGATTTCAACTCAACTCAAATGGGTGATTATGATGTGATTAGTGAACACATGGAGTTTGTTATTGGAAATGAAGTGTCGTACAAGGAAATTCGTAGTAGGGAAAGACGAAGACTTCAAGAGTTTGTGGTTAAACTTAATATTCAAGGAGCACACTCATGTTGGGAAATGATAGAGTCATGGGAACACATTTCTATGTCACAAGAATATTTGAGGGCAAATCTTTTCCAAGATGGAGAGAATGATGGGATTATACGAACCCTACAAGACCTAATTCGATTCCAAATTATATCTCTACATGGACCATGGGTCAATAGACAAAGTAGGAGGTTTAAAGAGAGTTTAGGAGCATTCAAGATGGGTGAAAATGGGTCTACAAACAAGACCTACGGGTTAATGGAGAATTGAGGATTTCTTACAACTATCCTTGTCCAACAATGATTGGGAGGAGATGCTTAATTGTTGTCCATGTTGGTTTAAGAGTCTTTTATTATGTTAGTTTCAAAATGACTCACCTTCCTTTTCTTCCATTCTTCAATGGAACCCTAAGATCCTCTCTCTAAAACTCAGTCCTTTCTCTCTCTTTCAGGCGGAGGAACCACCCAAAAACACTAATTCCCCCCTTCAAGTCGACTGCCTTTGTTAAGTGAAGGAAAATGTAATTATAAATTGTTGGTACACGTCAAGGCCTTGAGGGCATGACCCGATGGTCATGGCCGTGACCTGGGCGTGACCAGGCCCTGACCAGCCTAGAACGGCACCGAGATCACGTTTTCACTATGTCTACAAGTTTCGAGATTGAGGTAGCCTCCATCATGAGATCACGGTCGCTATCTTTGGTGTCACGGGCGTGATATTTATCATGGTAAAAATCTCTTTGGTCGTGATCCAAGTCTCTAAAATTTCTTCCTCTTTTTTGACTGCTTGCTGAAGTTCAAGGCCTCTGTTGGTGACCGCGAACATGGTCACGACATGGTTAAAGGTTGTGACGTGGTCGTGACCTGTGCTTTGTCTCCCCCCCCCCCCCCCTTCTTGCTCCTATGCTTCCCAATCGTGCTTGGATTGACTCCAGTCGATTCCCGATCAATCCTAGATGGCTTTAAGTCCTAGAACTTCATAAAAAACCCTAGAAAAGCATAAAATACGAAAAAGTGGGATCGATTTCCCCATAAAAACCTTCATATCAAACTAACCCATGCCAACATGTATGTCTTGCAAATAGGAACGAAAATAGGCATAAACTAGCATGATATGTGGCCTATACACGGTGATTTAGCACACAAATGCCTTGAGAATGAGGGAGAACTACCACCTATCTTAGGTGTCATCAATTCCCCCTCACTTAGGCGTTTGCTTGTCCCCAAGCAAACATACTCAAAAATGTACAACTTGGTAAATAATCAATATGGTATGAGCTATAGTTCTTCATGTATTAGTTAGAATAGTCGGGGTCGAGTGAACGTTACTCCCATCTCACTGTGAAAACACAAACTCCCGGATGAGGACCATGTTAACTAAGTAGTTCTAGGCATTCTAGGTGTGCACCGGAAGACATTCAAAAATTATGAAAACAAATGGGCTCTAAGGATGCTCTTTATTCTTTCTTTTATGACAGGATTCAATTTTACCTTGATTCTCCTCTTTTTAAAACTTTACCGCAATGGCATCAAACATTTGCAATTTTTCTTGCAAATTGGTGTATCTCCCTCGTAACCAAGCGCAAAAGAAACATTGTCTTCCCGGACTTGGCATCATGATATGCTATCTATTGTTATTGTGTATAGAGAGGTTTTCTCTTGTTTGAGGCAGTGAGATAGTCAATACACCACTGTCCCTACTAGTATACAGACTACAGTGGCATTTTGCTGCAATTGTCATTGATAAACTGGGAAATTTTGAGTGAGATTACTAAGCTGTTTTTTGGTAGCAAGTATCCCATTGCTAATTTGTTTTTCCCCAAGGTTTGTCATCTAAGACTGAAATTGCTTGAATGGTGTGTTGATACCAATTCTCTGGTATGGCTCAAAGTATGTGGTTGAAATTTGTTAAGTATTAGGATTATATACATTTGATTCTGACAGTGTCAGTGGTTCTTGATCCTAGATACAAGTTGTTGCATGTGATTGAGTATTATGCTGCTAAGTTTAGCACTACCAATACTGACTTGGTGGCTGATAAGAAAAGGCAATGTATCTGTAGTTTGGTGCTTGATTACCAAACCAAGGCTGAGAAGAACAATTCTGATTCTTCATCTGCTTATGTTAGTTCTTCTGTAACTGCAAATGTTGATCATGATTTTAATCTCATTGGAAGTCGGAGGAAAAAGAGCAAAGCAACTCTGATCCATAGTGAGTTGGATCACTATCTTCTTAAGAACCTTAACCTAATAGGTTTACTGTTGCTTGCTTTTGGAGGAAAGGATCAAAGCAATATGTGGAACTCATGTGTTATTTTAGGTTTTAGTTTAATTTCTCGATGATGTTATGGGGGCTGATTGCCTTTGTTTTTCATTCTCTTCTTTTTGAATCTGAATACTAGTGATGAATATGTTTTATGGGTTTTGGGTGGTGGGAAATTGGTTGCAGCAACCTATCCCTTTTGTTTGAAATATGAAGATCTGGTGTTGGAATATGGGTTACAGTCCCATATATTCCTTTTGTGTTTTGGATTCCTGTGCCTTGAACATAAAGTTACTTTGAATTTCAGGAATCTGAGTGTTTTAGTCATTCTTCAGGTTTTTCCTTCCTTTTTTAGTCATCAGGATCCATGGTGATCCGTAGGTTACCCATATCCGGCTGGGGAGGGTGACACTAAGCATATTCCACCCGTTTAGCCTGCGGTGATGGGAAAATCCATCAACCTTGACGGATGGGTAACGAGAGCTAAGTACCCATCCCCAATCCTCCATGTTGCCACCCCTAGTGAGGATATGCTCTCCATATCTTAGCAACTTAAGTGAGAGAAAGAGAACATTAGCATTAATATACAACAACAGTATACTACTACAAACAACAACGATACGGTTACAATTCATGCAACTATGACTCCAACAATAACTACAATTTTGACTATGGATGGCTAAACGTCGCCCTAGTTTTGTTTATCGCCCTAACAAAAAATAAATAATATTACTAAGCTGTGCTTTATTTTATTTTTTATGATTTATTTAATCAATTTAAATTCAACGAAAAAACTCTTAAACTGCTATCCCTCGAACATCGCTCGCCGCTGCCTCTTCAAAATCCCTTCACTGGTGTCCTTCTCCAACTGCACTTCGTCGTCGTTCCTTCTCCCCGGTCGTCTCTCTCCAAAATATATGGGCGAATAATTAGTTGGAGATAAAGGCCCCGGGAAGTTTGAATTCAACTGATCTCTCATCCAAGAAAGGGATGGATGCATGGTTGTGTTGTCTTTTCATTGAGTGCTTGTCGTCTGAAATGAAATCAAAGAATTGAACTCTTCTAGGTGATGCATATATGGTAGTGGTGTTCATAGCTTGGATAGTTCTGGTATTAATTGGGTGGACGAAGGATGATTAATCGGGTGAGAATGCAAAGGAAATTGAGTTTAATTTACCGTGAGGAGCAGGAGGGCTGGAGGAGAGTATGGATTACACGTTACCGGGCTCCATTCCGCCTATTGGAAATCGGATTTTAGATGAAGAAAAGAGGGAGAAAAGGATTGGGGGCGATAAAAAAAATAAAGGGGTAAATTTTTCATTTTAAGTTTTAATTTAGGGCGATTATATAAAACTAGGGCAACAATTAACAATCCCCTTTTGACTCTATTGACTACAACTCTAGTGTGCTAGTATAACAACTACAAACAATAACGACTGCGTTTGTGACTCTGGCGACTATGACTCCTTCTCCGACATGTACTATTGCTGCAATAACAACAACTACGACTCCATTGACTATGACTCTATATCTGATTATCAAAACTATAACTCTGACAACTATCACAAATTGTGCTCCTAACGACTATCACAATCCATGTCATAGATCCCTTGGTGTTCGTCCAAAACAAACTCTTCAAATCACTCCTCTTTTCAATATCCATCTCCTTGATCGGTCCACTCGCCCCAACCCACATTGCATTCAGCAACATTAGATAGTCAAATTATGATTTTGGAGACACTCGATGGAGAACCCTAATTCATTATAGAGAATCGTGACCGTGTATATATCCAAATTTCTCTTCAATATTGTCATTTCGAAATGCCCACTTCAACCGTTGTTTCACTTCCCAAAAAGCAAAGTTGTCTTGACGAATCTTAATATCATAATAGCTTATATAGTCATGATTCAATTCAGGTGCATCTACTTTTGATAGATTTCTCATTTTTTGAATCCAATTGGAACAATGGAGAAGTAGGAAGACTTTGGCGAAGATTCATAAATTCATAATGGCATATGGAATACCAAATTTCTCTTCAATGTTTTTGGCTATCTAGGTAACCTCAACAACAAACTCTCATCGTGAGCAATGTCTTCGCTAGAAATTGTATAAATTACTAATATGTTGCTCTGCTAATTCACTTCATCATCATGTCAATCCTGCTAGAATCGATTTAAATGCTCTTTCTTTTTTTCCTTTTCTTAGTTTAGGCAATTTAGTATGAAAAGTAAAAAAGGGGTAAAGTAATCCTATGTTGATATTTTTTAAATTTAAGCTCACTTTTTCCGCATGTAGAAAAGGGATAAATAAATAAATCAAATTCCGGGAAGCTTCATTCAGGAGTTAAACTTCCATTGGTCCATATTTCGAGAAAAAGGATTCAAGAAATAGTGAATGGTGTTATCAATACACAAATGTATAACTACCCAGAAATTTCCATTGCGCTTATATTTCCATCCACGGTTAGAGATATTTTTGCCATCCCTATGGACTCCTGACGTATACAAAAGAGTGTGATTCATTCAAAAAATTCCTACATCTCTATCTATCTCTTTATTGAGTAAAATGGAAAGGGAAGAGTATTGCATGCATAGATTAGTGTAGACAATGACAAAAACTCTTGTTCTCTCTCTGTTCCTTATATCAAAAGTGTTTCTTGTGTTTTTCTATTCTATTCATTAGTTTTTTTTCCTAATATTCCGCCCATTAACCCTACACCCTATTCATTAGTTCTTTTCTAATATTTCAAATCTAAGAAATAAATCAAGAAATTTTAATTAAATTCACCGAAACGGTGTTATTTTGTTTAAAAGTCTAAAATCAATCATATAAGTACTACCAGAGGGATCCCAAACAGTTTGATAACCGGCACAGATTGAAAAGTAACCTTGGTGAACACCCACCCCATTCCTAACGACTAGCATGCCACCAGCACGACACCAATGATGAACAGTAACAGTAACCTGTATGTTGCTTTATATAGTGTATATATATATATATAGTAATCTACAATATCATTTATAGTGGAAACGTAAAACTGCACCCTCCATTCAAAATTCTTTGCTCTTAGAGTGATTTGCGGGAGCTGACATGGCAGGCCATTTAGGCGAGGTTTTCCTCTTCCCTTTTCTCGAACCGCAATAGTCCTTCTCCCTTTTCCTTTCCCCTTCCCACAACGAATTCCTTCCTTCGATTTTCCTTTCTCCCTGCGCCATTCCGGAGAACCCAATTATGTGAATCACCACCCCAATTCTTCGGCTCCACTCCTCATTGTCAAAGTACATACTCCTTACATTCATCGATCGATTCCTTAAATCTCTAACAACACAGCCACATCGCCGGTGGCGCCGTCAGGAACCCCCTTCGAGGAGAAATCGCGATCTTTCAGTTTTGCTGGTGGGTTTCCCTTCCTTAGTATGTCCTTGATTTCAATGATTTTTTCGAATCTCTTCCTCTTTTTCTCGATCTCACTCTATCCTTGTCTGTGGCAACAAGATGCCCCCGCGATGAGAACTGCGGCGGGAACTAATTGTGTCTTTTACGGTTTTATTTTTTGCCTGTTATCTTTGTTGCACCACGGTGACCAAGGGTTTAACAGGGACCAGAGTTATGGGTTTTGTCGTATTGTTTCATGGTGATTGAGTTGTAGAGATGAAGGGAGAATAGCATCCTTGGTGGACTGTGGATCTCAAACCCCTTAAGTTTCACCCTGGCATTTTCTATTAAGCAAAGTTTTCTTGAGTTATGTGTTGGTAGATCATTGGGTTGGGTTATGGAACTAGCAAATGGTTTTCCATGAATTCACTGAAATTCGCTTTGGCTTTAGGCTGTATATTGTCGATTAGAAATTCGAAACTAGCAAATGTTTTTTCTTCCATTTTTGGCTGCAGAAATTTTATGGATTTTTTCCTGATGGGTTTCCCTAGATATGGAAGTCATGTTGGTCAAGTCACCAGATTGATTTTAACTCTAAATCTGATAAACTAGATCGCAGACCACGTTGGGAGGTATATTGTGACCATGATGAGCAATGGTGCAAGAATGCTAAAACGGTAGTTAAGCGGTTTGGATGAAGCTGGAAGGATGGATCAGTTAGTGCTTCTTAGGTAGAAGGTTGTTCTTCGATTTGATGGGGAATAACACAAAGATGCAATAGAGATATACAGATTGTTGCTATCACTTATTCATGTACAACGTGATTTATATGTACTCCTTTTCCAAACAGTATGTTTGATTTCCATGTAAAAAGGTTAATCGTAGGATCCATTTCTACATTTTCAAGGAAGTGCAGTGGGGCGCTTAGAGGCTAGAGCTGGTACCATGTAGATTTCTATGTCAGATGCTGCTTAGACCTGGTGGTTAAGTTGTTGTATGCTACCTTTATCTCATGTTTCCTCTTTCAAATGTCACCTCTATTATGCTTTACCGCCTTAACTTTTGTTCATTTTGTTGATTTAAGTTTTGGCGGGCCAAGGAGCCCTGTGGTAGAATTGCCAGTTTAGTTTGTGACGCCAGAGAATTTGAGAAACATTGGGAAATTTCAGAGAATTTGGTCACAATTGGGTATGAACGTTACTTTGCATTGTTTCTTTATATGATTGATATTATGTTATTATGGTGTTTGTTGGTGCTTCTTTGTTGATCATCTTGCTCAATATTATTGTTCCGTTGGTTGTGGTCCCCTAAAAATGTGTTGTGTTTCCTTTGTTGGTTGTCAGATACTAGATCCAACTTACTTTGAAGGATGCAACTGGAGATGTCCCTTTCATTCTCTTGGCTCATAGGTACCCTTATAGATCAGGGCAACTACATTAGAGTTGGGCACACTTTATGGCCAGTTTGTCAAGTTTGATGTTAAGATGCAAATGTTGGAATCTAATGGCGTGTCAACTGGTGAGTTCAAAGTATTCCGGGTTATTCCTCAGCAGAATCATGAGATTCAGACAGATGTGTCCCATGCGAGCCATGGCAATATGGATAGGTCCCAGATTTCTCTGCCTTTTCAGAGCGATGACAATCAATCTGGAACAATTTTGGCCTCGACACCATTGAAATTGACAGCTGGACATGATCCTCCCCATCAAGGTATGGTCATCCTTGGTGTAATGGTCTCTTTTTTATTGTTCAAAATTTAGTCGTTGTGAATGTTTTTTTTTTTCTCAATGCTGGCTCTTCCAAGGGGAAAGAAAAAGTTTCTGCCTTTCTGGTCCGTTGTTTGTTGAGAACACCAAGCCTACTTTCCATATTAGTCAGTTAGATGAAAGGTCGCTCAGGTAATATGTTTCCTGCTCACTTGTTTAATGTGTGGTATTATCTGTTCATTGCATTTAAATTTAATCATCAAAATATGCATATAACTTGCAAATTCTTATTTTCCTTTCAGCCAACCTCATGGGGGATTGTCCATTAATGAAAAATTACAAGTCCTGGAAATATGTGTCCTAGGAGCAATCAGGAAGGGCAGCTCAAGCGTTTCATTCAATGATAATAGTCAGGGTTGCTTTTGAGAAACTGTTATGTAATGGCTCGGGAGGTTAATGCCAGATGTGTGATGTTTGTGAACAAGTATTGTATATAACGAAAGTGATGTTATCACATCCAGGCACCATGTATAATGTATATGCAAACTAATGTATGGTGCCTTGGCGAACATGTGCCAACTATAGCCTATTTAGTCTATAATATGGCATGAATGGTTGTTCTATTTATTAGATGCTTGGTGGATTTCTTTATGTGAATATTTGTACACCAACAGTGTACTTATGATGTGGTGTGATCACATTCAAACCTATCCGATAACAGATTTATGTGATAAATGGCTAAATGCCTAAATATCAAATACCCATGCATGTTGAGCATAGATCAATCCATGCCTCAACAGAGTATGAATGTAAAATATCTATCTTATAAAACTACAGGCCACTGCATACCGTCTCAAATTTATCCTAAGCAATAACTTTGATCCCTAATTCCATTTCCAGTTATGTTAATTTCGGGTACGACAAAATATTTTGCTCTGGCAACCGAAGCTCTACCATGCCCAGAATATGTAATCTCTTGCCTACAACTTGAAACACCAAACTATAAAATGAAAATATGCCATGTTTGGAATTCTGGATTTTAGTTGGCATGTTCTTCGTTCAAAGTTTTGCAGATACAAAACTTTATTGAGTCGAATCGATCAATAATTGTGAACTTTCGGAGAGTGGTGGAAATTCAAAAGTCGGTCTTCAAGGTTCTTTCGTGACAAACAAGTTTTTTCGTTTATTTATTATTGGATCGAAGGAAGAGAAAGTGGAACAGATGGATGTTGGGATTTTGTCTATTAATTATTGGGGGTTGCAAACGGAGAAGATAAGCCACAAAATGAGGGTAAATTTAATTTGTTATAACGTATATACTATATAGTACGCGGGCATGTTTGATGTGAAAAATACTAGAGTGATAGGTTTAATAAAAAAGAAAATGAAACAAGTTATAGACAAATCATTAGCTTTGACTCGAAGACGATGACCCGCTTCTTCGTGGGAGAAAGGAATTCATGCGGTGCCGCCAGAGATCTGAAGAGCAAAGACGAAAAAGATACACCACGAGTTCGTGAATGGAGACTGTGAATTAAATCATCAAATCACGAACTTGGGGCTAAATAAAAGGATAGCATGTTAGTTAGATGAGTGATTATATAGAATTTGCTAATTGTGTACATCTATAGGAGATCTACAGCGTCGGCTTAGGAAACAATGAATCGAAGAGAAAGAAGAAGATATAGACTCTTTTATCAACCACTAATTGAGTGTATGGGGTGGATAAACTATGTATTCATTTCACTTTTCCTTTTAAAAAAATTCAATAAAAATTAAAAACAGTAGCGTAATTTTGGTGGGTTTTTATTCAACTTTTGCCATCTTCAAGGTTCTTTCGTGACAGACAAGTTTTTGCGTTTATTTTTCGGGTTGAAGGGAGATAAATTAAAGCGGAACAAATGGATGATGAGATTGTGTCTATTAATTATTGAAAGTTGCAGAAGGGGAAGAAGCCACAAAATGGGGGTAAGTTTAATTTGTTAAAATGTATTATACTATATAGTACGGGGGCATGTCTGATGTGAAAAATAGTAGAGGGATAGATTTAATAACAAAGTAAAATGAAACCAGTTATAGCTCAATCAACAGGCTTTGACTCGAAGACGATGACCCGCCTCTTCATGGGAGAAAGGAATTCATGTGATGTCGTCAGAGATCTGGAGAGCAAACATGAAAAGTATACACCACGAGTTCGTGAATGAGGACTTTGAATTAAATCATCAAATCACAGGCTTGGGGCTAAATAAAAGGATATGAGGTGAGTTAGATGGCTGATGATATAAAATTTGCCAATTCGGTACATCTACAAGAGAATCGTAGGGGAAGAAGAAGATATAGACTCTTTTATTAACAACTAATTGAGTTCATGGGGGTGGATAAACGATACGTTCATTTCTATTTTCCTTTTAAATAAAATAAGACTAACAAGTTCATTAAAAACTAAAAATTGTATCGTAAACTTTGGTGGGTTTCTATTTAACTTTTGAAGCTTGTTCCTTTAGTTTCAGTCCTAATCAGATTATTTAAAGCTATCATTCTACTAAAATATTTTTATTTTTATTTTCCGTTGCATTGTTGTAATATTTTGACCAAATCATGTTAGTAAGTTAAATGATATATTAATTGAATTAATATAATAGTCACACTCTTTCGGCACACTCAAATTAATATAATGAATTTTTCATATCCGGGCAAAAGCAGGCTAAAACGGGTTGACAACCTTTGATAATTTGATATTCAAATATTCTAAAAATTTTGGGTTCAAATTTTTATGATTGAGTCGAATTAATCAATAATTTGACTCTCAGAGAGTGGTTGAAATTCAAAAGTCGGTTTTCAAGGTTCTTTCGTGACAGACAAGTTTTTGCATTTATTTATTGTTGGTTCGAAGGAACAGAAAGCGGAACAGATGGATGATGGGATTGTGTCTATTAATTATTGGGAGTTACAAACGGAGAAGATTAACCACAAAATGGGGGTAAATTTAATTTGTTAAAACATATATACTATATAGTATGCAGACATGTTTGATGTGAAAAATAGTAGATGGATATATTTGAGAAAAATGGATAATAGAGTGACAATTTATGCTATTAACTCCACATAAAAAGTCAAAGATCGTATTGGTAGAGTAGAATTTAAGGTTTTATAATGTTTTTATTTTCTTAACTTTTGTACGTGAATTAGTATCAAACGCTTAACAACCCCCACTTATTATTCAAACAAGCTATACAATAAATTATCTTAATTTATACAATTAGAATTATTTTTTCGTATTCTTCCATATTTGAGATTTTTAGGCATAATATTTTCGTTATTCTCTTGAATTTTTTAATATAAATTCAATTCCTACCAATTCTAGATGACATATATTTCCTTCCAACTCTAAATTCATATTCGACAATGAAAATTTTTCAAATTTCTACGAATATATGGAAAAAAAATACACAACACTACACTTGGATGACTTGACAAAAAAATAAACATTAACTAATTATCGCTAATGTCATAATAAAAAAAATATCATAAAGATTACTTTGAAATAATGAATTAACTATTTTTAAAAATCTCAAATTATTTAAAAGTATAAAAAAATTGATCAACATAAAATAAAATAAAATTCATCCGACCAACGGGTCGGATAAAAGCTAGTAATAATAACTTTCGGGAGGATTTAATCAGCAAACACAAGGAAGAAAGGTTTACATTGAGATTGAGCTCAAAAATAACGGCAGTCAAGTATGCAACTCAAAAGCAATTGTCTATCCCTTTGGTCACACAAAGAGGGCATCTACCCCTTCCCATCTCTACAATGTGATTAGATGATTTGCACCTATCAAACAGTATTCCTAAACCTGAACATTTCTACACTTATCGGGATGAAAAGAACATTTCTACACGTCGATCATATGAGAATGTGCCTATAAAGGGCATCCCTACCCTATACACTTGGGTACTATATCAACAGCAGCTCAAAACCACCCCAACAAAATGAGAGAAACTACGGTGTTTCTGTGTCTACTTACCTCAACCTGAAGTGCTTCCATATGAGTCAAAACAGTTACATTGCAGAGGAAAAATGCTGCTTGATCTCGTTCTCTTTCTTAGATAATGTCTGAAAGAGGCACTTCTGGTGACTTGCGAACTCCGTTAACACATCTTTGAGCTGCTTTGCTCTTCTGTATTCTTCTAATGCAGGTGTCACTATTCTGAGCACATGTTTTTCCTGCTCTTTACTTCCATGCAACCACTTTCTGATCTGCCAATATTGCAAACTTACAAAATCGTCACTACCGACACTGTTCAAGTTCCTACTCAAGGAAAAGGTATAAAGTAAGATGCACAGAAAAACACGTCCAAAGGGGTTAGACCCACCAAAACTTCAGAGCAGTGAGGGCAAGCATCACTTACATTTTGCAAACTCATAGTGAGCGCCTATTCCCAACTGATAACTTACCTGTGTGTAATTCGTCTGGGTTGTGATCCTATACGTACTAAGTGGCAAACTCTTCTCAGTTATCACCAAGGGCCTGAAAGAACAAATAACCCTCTCAGCACAACCGCAGGAAGAAAGAACTAAGAACTGCAGGATAGTTATGAGAATGCATGCATTTTCTTATAAATTGCTGTTTCAGGGGCTAACAGCAAAAGCGATTTCATCCTCCCTTACTGTGGAAAGATTTCAAACTTTCCACATAATAGTTTTTCTTTCATATTTATTTTTAGCTTTACATCTCAGTAGGAATGCTCTTCTGTCCAGTTTGACGATAACTCTCCATTACTTGCGGTCCACAATAGCTAAATCATCTCACTTCCACCATGAAAACTGGAGAAGTTTCCCATCTGACCACAGTAATTCCAATCACCAAGGAGAGTTTTAACCTTTCATGTCGAACTTAACAGAGTCAGCTATTGTGGGATCCAAAAGGAGAGTGAATGGAAAATTTGACAGAAAGGACATGGTTATAAAGATTACATAGCAGAACGGCATTAAAGTTCAAAAGATAAGGATGGACACATTCAAAAGTGTTGCATAGTAGAGGGGCATGCATGTATAACATAATTATGCACTCAATACCTGGAAAAAAATCACACATTAACGATTGCTAATCAAACAAACTTATAGGATCTCCCTGTTTCTAACAGAAACATCCTCGTTATAATTCTCAAAAACAAAATATATGCATTCTAAGAATCGAAAATAAAACAGCGCCTACATCTCATGTTACCTCCCGGTCTGAGAGATCACCAAATGATCAGGACTATCTAGTAAGTTGCACACTTCATGAAAGTTTCGCTTAGAGTCCACCACGATCGCAGCCTTTGTACATGTTTCATAAAAGAAACTTGAGGAAATATGTGCTTCAACAAGAACTGATGTTTCCCTGTGTATAAATTGCACTATTTCTGAAGGGGATATTCCTTTCTCCAGATTGTCAACAAGGAGAGCATAGCGCCCTCCCATATGAGGATCATCATCATCACTAGTTTCTGTCTCCAAAAAAGCCAATGCCAAGGAGAGGAACATGAAAAGAAGAACATGATAAGCAATGAAGTCATTTGTTTTTACTTCAAAGTGACGTGTTATAAGTCAAGGAACTAAATTACAACATAAGTTGAATGCATGGTAATGAGTGAAATTCGCAATTTTCTTCCAATGGTTTTGAATCAGGGATGGTAAAAACACAAACTTTGTCACCTTCCAAAAATTTTGCACTCACTTAATCTCATTTGCAACTCATTACCTTTTATTTCTGAGTAAATGTCAAATCATCCAAAATCATAATAACGCCAAAAAAAAATTCAAATCCAAAGGACCTGCAGATCTGGTGCCTAAAAAATTAGGCTAACAAAGTCTGGTTTTCCATAAATCTGACACCCAAATCCAACATCCATACTACCCCCAAGTCTAACTAGAGACACCCTTACACTTGAAATTAAGTCACAATAACTTCAACCACCAAGTGGTGGTCTTGGTGGTAAGGTAAGAGGATTGGAACAATGTGCTTACGGGTTTGATTCTCACAACCTACTACTCTCGTAGAACTTTCTTGGTGACTACCGATAGAGTTGTATGCTCAAATCACCCGCTAACATTGATTCACTAGGAAATTAAATGGAATGAGGTAGCCTTAAACACATGCACCAAGCTCTCTTTTCAAAACGAGTCCAACTAAACAACCTTGAAAGTCTAAAGCTTGTAGAGGGTATAAACAACCAATACCTAGCAATGGGAGTTCACCAACATCCAGCCCTTCTTGAGTTCCAACCTTGAATTCGTCATCACCTAGTATTATCGACAAAATGTGCTAAGATGTAAGAACCCATTTCAAGTTAATGACATTCCCATTGAGTTAACAATGAGCAAACATGACATTACAGAATCGTACATGCGTTAAGGTCATTTAAAAGCCAATGAACTAACGTAGATAAAAGTTAATCAAAATCATAACAAGTTAATTTCTGGCTGGTCTCAAATGTTACCAAACCTTGCATGAACCACATTCCACTAGCAGACCTCTGGCTTCCCTTTCTTTCCTGAGAAACAGTAAATCCCATCAACAACTAATCTTAATAAGAATCAATCAAATCCAATGTTCGGGAAATTGTTTCAGCAATGGTGGAAGAGCTTACCCCAGGAGAAAATTCATGGGTGGAAAAAGGAGGAGCTTTGAAACAAGCACCACCTTCAATCTCCTGTCTAGCTACCTCCAAGAAACTGGCTACCGCAGGATCAAGCTCTGAAACAGATTGAACAATGCAAATGCTTTCGATCTTCTTCCTGTGCAGCAGATGTTTAGCTGGACCATGTTTCCAAACAACCACAAATGCACATGAACACACTTCTTCTCCATTGACAACCGAATGATCTTTATGAATCACCTAAAGATTAACCATCCGAATTCATGAACAAATTCTAAACATTAAACCACAGATTAATCAGAGCACAGCTACTCATCCATTCGAGTTTTTGAATCGAAATGGTGTTCCCAACGGAAACTAGGGTTACAAGGAGATGGAGAGGGAAAATTGAAGAAAACGATAAAGAACCTCTTCAATGGTGGCGTCGTAGAAGCGGTTGTCCAAGCCGTCGGCGGAGTGAGAAACGCAGACCAGCATTCCTTTCTTAGCCTCCCGGCACTCCCAGTCTTGCAGCTGATGAGAAACAGGCCTGAATCGAGCTTCGAACTCCTCGAGGTCACAGGCAGTGACAAACCTGTCCGGCTTGAAAACCAAGTCTTCTCCGTCGCCGAAGTTCTCGAACTTCACCGTCAACTCCTTATTTTTTCCATTGAAAATCGCGCGGACGCTGTACCAGGCATCGTCGGAAGGAGCGTGGAACTCGAGGTTGTATCCGCCGGCGGAATTAAGCGGCGGGGCAGACATCGATTCGCGTGGCGGTTCGCTTTCGGTGTGAATGGCTCTCGATTACTCTTCTAGCACAAGAAGCCGGCGAAACAGTCAGGCCTTTTGGCTTGGCAACCAGCCCGGCACCTAACGAAATCGCATTCCCTCTTGGCTCGATTCAGAGAGTCCCTGCAGAATCTGTAAGAAGAAGAGGAAGTGTTGCCGTCGTTAGGGCTCCCCGACTGAACGACGAACCTCTCCCTCGGTGACTTTTCGTGGTTGCTTCTTCCTCGGGTTCGTCACCGAGAGGAATGCTAGTTCGTTTGACAGCGTGCAGGGGCAAAATTGTAGTTTCGGATCTACTCTGTGACCGGTTTTTATTTTGGGAATTGCTAATTATCACCCCGTGTTTTACTTTAATCGCGCTATTACTTTTTTATCTTCTTCTTTATTTATTATTTAAGAATAGTTTTATTTTAACAAACTACGCATAAAAAAATAGTTGACCGCTGCAAATATTACCCCAACGTTTCCCGTTCTCGAAGGTAGGAATGGCAATGGGGCAAGTCCGGGACGGGTTTTTTGGTACCCAGACTCGCCCCGTGGCAGGTCGGGTAATTGATCACGGGTCGCGGGTCGGGGCAGGTCGACCCAATGGGTATGCAATTTATATTAAAAACATTATAAATATTCGTTATTTTTATTATAAGACTAAGAAAACAAACAATATTATGACAATTGCAGTTAAATTATTGGAGAAATTGAGGTTTTTACTAATTTACAACTTTCTTATAACTAAAATATGATGCAATAAAAGGAAAATACTAAGTAATTAAACTAAGATTACATGTAAATTAGACAAGAACGGGTCGAGAATGGGGCGGGTCAGGGCAGGTCGGGTCGATGAGACTACCCATGCCCGCCCCGCCCCGCCTACGGGGCGGGTCGGACCCGCCCCGAAACAGGTCAAACAGGTCGGGTAACACGGGTCAGTTCGAAATTGCCATCCTACTCGAAGGAGGGCGATTTCAACTCCCACCAAACTAAACGACTTATCATTTTCCCCCCGGCAAATTGAAGGTCTAATTGTTGCCGTTTTTGCGTTCCCTTCCTCCATCTCATTATCAATTGAATTGGGTCACAGGGATATGCCCGTGGGAGATAACGCATTAATCTGGCGATGCGGCTCCTGCAGAAAATGGGATCTGCTCTGTCGTCGCCGCCAGAGGGCAGCGACGGATCCAGGACATAAGAGAGCACTGGGCCGCATTTGAATAAAATATTAGATATCATAAACAAAAATATATAATAATATAGTTTTCATTACAATGCCAATTGTACAAGAAGATCTTTTAATTTAACAAATTCATCAATAATATAATCTCCATCCATACGGATAATACTATTTTTCAAAGAAAATAGCTAAATAATCAACGAGAAATTCATCGCTCATTTTGTTGAACAAATCAATGTTCATGTTCCATTGCTGAAAATATTTTCTCCATGGTAGTTGTTGAAACGGCTAGGTCAACAGTAGACAAATCAACCAACAAATCAATTTGTATTGTGTGTCCATCCCGGTTTCCTCCAGCTTCCCTAATAATTTTGGAAGAGAAGAAACTTCATCTTCCTCACATGAGTAGTGCATTCTCCAAAGAATGCATCTCATAGCCTTCAAAATCTCGAGACTAAACTCTTGAGAAAGTTTGTAAATATTTTCTTCATCAAAACACCAGAAAGAACGGTTAGAATCTAATGCCCCACTCAATTGAGGCGATTTAAATGATAACTCAACACGTTTGTAAATATTTTCTTAATCAAAAGAATGGAAAGAAAACCAGCTTGACGGGCTGGCGGAGAAACTCATTTTGGGTCTGCCCGTCTCCTCGTTCTTGTTTTGTTTTGGGGGGATTGGGAATTTTTTTGAATTTTGCAAGGAAGGGTGTGCTTAGTTTAGAGTTTTTATTTTATTTTAATGAAACTTTACACTTTTAGGTTTTCATGTCTTTTTCAAATAAAATCATTTGGGACATAAAAAATTTAGTATAAATTTAGAGTGATAGGTTTGGATATATTCATTTATTCCAAACGGTATGTTAATGAATTGCTATTTGTACTCCTAAACAAAATCTATTTGTAGCCCTAAAATAATTCAAGTACTATTTTGCCCTTTCAAATCTTTTGAATTCAAATTTCTTATAACAATCCAACCAAACACCCCCTCCCTCCCAACATCCAACAAACCGTCGTCAGTTTCCTCCCAACTAACGTCGGCGACGACAACTTCTCGTCGAAGACCACGTTCTCGCCGGACACGACGGAGGGCAGCGTCGCCAGAGAAGAGTAGATCGCCTCGCCGGAGAAGAGGACTAGTCGCCGGAGGTAAAGTTCCGAACTCTGTACGATAGGGGAGGGTCAACGGCGGTTTCACACGCCGCCGGCGAGGTGACGTCCGGCCCAAGCATCGTCGGCAACAGCGTAACGTCCAGCTAGGACGTTCGTCCTTCGCCGGCGACGTCTGGGCAGACGTCACCGTCGCCGGTGGTATTTTTTTAATTTAATTTAAGTTATTGTTATTAATTTTAAATTTTTTAAAATATGAATCTTTATTAGGAAATTAAAAATTCAATGAAATATTTATTGTTTTATATAAGAGTTAATTGTTGTTGTGATTTATAAAATTTATTTCAATTTGGATTTAGATTATGAAAATTGGATTGTATTGGTTAGTATTAAATAGAAATAAAGGAATTTTAAAAATTCTGCCAAAAATTATGTTAATGTTTTCATTTAATTGAAATTATTTTTTTATTGAATGGAGGCTTAAGTCAATCAAGGGGGCCTGCAGCTAGCAAAGCACTAATAATAGGTAAAACAAAACAGAGTATCGCAGGATCGAAACCTGATCCCAAATATAGAGAGACTCAAAATAATAAAAGAAAAAAATAAGAGCACAACAAGCAAATGAGTCGGGCTCCAGGTCAGGAATTAGGATTGTGTCCGTTCCAAAACTTGGCGTGGAAAGCTCACTCGAAGCATGTCTTCATGCAACATTCTTGTCAAGTTTGCCGGCGGTTCATTTAGTTCATGTGTATCGAAGGGATAGACGAGACTATACTTCGAGAGCCAGTTCTCGACTCTATTCCTCTCTTTATACGTATGAACCATTTGAACTACTCAATTTTGGCTAAGTAGACGACGGATGAGTCCCAGGACTGTCGCGTAAGGATGGACCGGGTCATTTCGTTTTTTGAATCAAATCGAGAGAGTTGAGTGTCAGATTCCAAAATCAGAAACTCTGCTCCTTCCCGCCATGCTAGCTGAAGTCCCTGGAAAATTCCCCAAAGTTCTACCATCAGAGCAGTTCCGTTGCCATTTGCGAAGCTTACTACAAAAGCCACCAAGCCAATCACCAAAGGTTTGTCACGCCACTTAAGCTCCCACGTTATCTATAAATCGACATGTCCCACCACCTGTTGGCCACATCAAATTAGTAAAAAATAAAAAATAATAGTTTTATTTTAAATTTTTCTATTTTATTATTACTTCCCTTCTTCTTCCAACGAAAGACCTCCATCTATATTTGTCATCCTTCATCTTCACCATTGTTGTTACTTAAATGAAAATCACAACAATTCTTAAATCCAATAAAACCATTTTATATATATATGGTGGCTACTTCGGTGCACTCACTTTTTTGGGTGCATTCAGTGCACCCACCTCTAAAAGTGGTCATAATACATCAAATTTTGAAATTTAATGGGTAGCATTAGTCTCATATGATGATATAACATAAAATCACAACTAATCAACCCATTACCCTAACCTATTAACATTCAATTTTGAATCTAAACCCAAAATTCCAAATTGTAAACCCTAACCCTAACCCTAAATTCCTAAACCCTGAATCATTCAAATTAAAGTGAACCTTGATTGATTTTTGTACAAATTCATGTGGTTCTTGTTCATCATACTACAAGGGATGATTGACATCGTTTTCACATGAATCGTCTGCTCAGAATGACGATTATGAGGCGGGTGCATTGAATGCACCCAAAAAAGTGAGTGCACCGAAGACATAACCATATATATATATATATATATATATATATATGGTGACTACTTCGGTGCACTCACAAAAACGAGTGCATTCAATACACCCAACTAAAAAACTAGTCTTAAGGTGTCGTATGTTGAATTTTAATTTGCAGAAATAGTGTAATATGATTATATAACATATGATCACAACTAATTAACAGATTATCCTAAGCCCTAGGCCTTCAATTTTGAATTCTATTCCTAAACCCCAAATTGTAAACCCTAACCGTAAATCTCTAAACTCTAAATCCTTCAAATTAAAGCAAATCTTGAATGATTTTTGTGCAAATTCATGTGCTTTAATGTTCCACATCATAAGTGATAATTGACATTATTTTGACATGAATCACATGTTTAAAATGACGATTATGAAGCGAGTGCATTGAATGCATTTTGGGTGCACCAATGACGGTTATGAAACGGGTGCATTCAATGCATTCGCTTCATAATAGTCATTTTAAACATGCGATTCATGTCAAAATGATGTCAATCATTAGTTGTGATATGATAGACATGAAACCCCGTGAATTTACAACAACAAAAAATCATTAAATATTTACTTTGATTTGAAGAATTTGTGATTTAGGGATTTAGGGTTAGGGTTATGGTTCGCATTTTGGGATTTTGGGTTGGTGTTGAAAATTGAAGGTCTAGGGGTTAAGGTAATTGATTGATTAGTTGTAATCATTTATTATATCATCATATTATACTAATGCTTCAAGTTAAAATTCAAAATTGATGTCTATATATCCATATATATATATATGGTGGCGTTTTCAGTGCTCTCACTTTTTGGATTTTGGATTTGGTAGGTTCACTGCTACTTCCTTGTTAAAACCCTCGTCTCTCTCTTTCTCCCTCCCTTTAATTAACACGGTGCAATCTCAACATCTATAGATGACTTTGCTCCACTATAGTCTTCTAATATCAAAATGAATAAATTGAATCATGGTGAAGAGATATGATAATTTCAGGAAATTTGGGTTCAAGGATATTCATGAATAATTTAGTGAGATGTGAGATGTTGAACGATGTTTGTGCAATTTGTTTCATATTTTGGGATTTGTTAGCATCGATTCCGTCGTCATTTGGAGCACGCTATTCTGTCTTCATTATTACTCATTCGGAAGAGCATTTTCATATGTTCTATTGAACTCCAATCTGCTATTATATAATAGCCAACATAGGTTTGGATTTTGTTCTACGATGAGAGACGAAGAAGTGAAAACAAAGGTAAAAAGGGTTGGATGGAGAAGTCCTGTGACCAGTCATTTGTATATGTTAGCTTTCCTTTTTTTTTTCTTAAGAAATATATTATTTCTTATATTTTTTAAGTTAAGTAAAATAAAAATATTGAAAGTCGCAGGTTAAGACAGTTTATCCTTATAAATTGATGTGGCCAACAGGTGATTTTAGGAAGGTTTCATGCTTCAATTAGTTTTTCTACAAAGGTTTATTCTAGGAAGGTCCATGGTCCAAATATCTTCATATTTGTCACAAAAGTCCATTTTTGCCATACATATGTATTTTGTCTAAACTAAACCACATCTACAATTTAATATTTGAATAAGGGGTCGTTTGGATGTGGAAATCTAAAAACGTAGGAATTGGCTTTAATTTCCACATCATAGAAAACCTTGGAATTGACTAATGGAAATTTACCAAAATTCAATGTTTGGATAGAGTTATGAAATGTGGGAATTACTCGTATGAGAATCTTCCAAAGTACCAAAATACCCTTAACCCTTTCTATACAACTCATTCTCAATCCTCAAATTTTTTGAACTAACTAAAACAAAACATGCTTAATATGAATATTAATTCAATATAACAGTAGTAGCAATCCAAGCATTATATTTTGTACGTGAGCTATCATAGACAAAACTCTATGCTGACAAAATTGAATAACTAGTTGTTGCTTCTACTAACTACTTTTGCTATTGCTAATTGCTTTTTGCTGCAGCTGAATTTTCTTGTTGCTGGAATTTTTTATTGCTGCTGTTGCCAAAGAGGAAGGAAAGAGGAAGAGAGAGAGCAAGCGAGGAAGAAAGAGAGAGAGCAGAGGAAGGAAGGAGGGTTAATTTGGGGATGAAAAGACCAATAATAACATGGTAATTGGCAATTTCAGATTGGGGGTGTAGTATTTCCAATTACTGCTTTCATGAGATTTTAACCAAATTCCCACGGCCCAATTTCCATATGCTTTGGCCTCAGCCAAACATAGGATTTTAACTCAATTACAACATTATGTGGGAATGTGGACCAATTCCCACACCCAATTCCACCATCCAAACGACCCCCAAGGTTGTAATGATCTTTTCCTTTTAACTTTTAAGTAATTAGAGTTCAAATCCCAATATTAACATTTTTATTTTATAAAGATAACTTAAGCCCAATTACGAAAATAAGAATCACTATAATTATATGTATAGAGATGTAGATGTAGATAGTCAAGGAACTAATCCAAAATTTAATCAACGAAACCACTTCCATAGAGGTTTGCTGTGCCATAATCAAGAAGAAAAGGAAGAAGCACAAACAGAATAAACCTTAAACCTGAGCATGATAAAAAGGGGGCAAATGACAGAAAAGTACACTCGAGGAAAGCAGCTCTATAGTTATATTCATCTTTGTTGCTGCTGCTGCTCTACAAAACTTTGTTGCTTGATTTTCTTTAACCCTCAAGTTACGACGAGATATCTCTGCCAAAGAGACCAGAGATTGCCTGGCCTGGGTCGCTTTGTTTCACCAGCGATTCTCCAACAAGAACCTGGTCATTTGTTTGAAAATGGTTAGACGTATGATTACTAGAGGACAGAGATGCAGGCAGTGAGACGAACGAGCATAGGATCAGGTAAAAATAAAAGAAATTTCGAGGATAGAAATCAGATCAAAAGTACAGTCAATCTGACTTGTCCGGACTGGTCTCGATTTGAACCACTTTTGCATTGTAATTAAGAGGATCCGTAGAATCAAAACCCAAAAGATAGTACTGAATTTGAAAATCAACCAGATAAAACTACATTCCGCCAACCTAGACCGAATCGTATCCAACTCGATACCTCATCACTCAAAAGTAATCCTCCCCCAAATACCCAGAACGAGAACTTACTATATGCCGAAATGACAAGTCTCAAAACCACCTGACCCTACCAATTTCTTAGGCCTACATTCTTGGTGTTAAGAGAATTAGAATTTGATTACCAAAGCTTCTAACTGAAAATAATCCTATAGAAACCCTCTAATCCGAAATAACCCGACCCATAATGACCCACAATTTGAAATCACCCGACTTCAATGACTCCACTGCCTAAAACTGAGCCAACCCAACGCGTTCGCCATGCCCACACTTCAGACCATCTTTTGAAGAGCTAAAGAGAGGGTACTATCAACGGAGAAATGCAAGGTTAGAGAAGCTTACCGCTCCAACACCAGCTTCTTGCACATAAGCGATGTGTTCAGGAGTGAAAAGCCCAGATTCGCCAACTACCTGCAGTAAGTTACGTTTACGAATAATGGAAGATGACAGTCAAGTTTCAATCACGATAAATAACGGATATGAACAACGGTCTGAAAGTCAACTCACGATTATGCCTTTCTCGCGGATGAGTTTGCCTCGCTCTCCTTCAAGAAGCTTCTTGGTGTTGCTGATATCAACTTCAAATGTTTCTGGAGATATGAAGCAGAAAGTAAGAATATTTTTTTATCGGCAGCATGTACAAAATATAAGAGTAGCTGCAAATATTGCAGTGCAGAGTCGAATTCAAGAAATGGCAATGAATGCATACGAAACAACTCGTACCAAGATTACGGTTATTGATGCCAATAAGCTCAACGCCTTCTATTCCAAGAACACGGTCCATTTCCCTTTCATCGTGGACCTATCGAGAAGCAAAAATAACTGAACATCAATGCACTTACGAAATGCCAATTAAAGCATCCCGGCACTGTAGCTTTAGGTTTATTAGTTTTTTATTTTCCTATTGGACTTAAGCTTCTCACTATTTTAAATGATCATAGACTAGGTCTTCAGGCAGAGGGAAGATCAATTATACTTCATATTGCCTTTCTACTAGTTGGTCAACCTATCGGGTTTTAGCTTTTGGTTGGTGCTTTGAACCAAGGTGCAGTATCTAGTTGGCGTTTAAACTGAGCTTCCATATCTCCCACAATGTCAAATTGTAAGAACAAAATCACACAAGTTACATTCACCACAAGGTGTTATGAACTGTTAATTAGGCAGAAGATTCAAAACTGAGAGCAACTGATGAATGCTCGATCAACCATTTTGTTAAATAGCGATTACAAGTTAATCACTAATGTCGATTACAAGTCAACCAAGCGGAAGATCATTATTATGGCAAAAAAGAGAAGCAACATCGTACCTCAACGAGTGCCGCCAAACCAAGCACCTTGCAGATCTTAATCATATACTTAATGTCCAGATCAGGCAAAATTGCAGCTATTAGAAGAATGGCATCTGCTCCTTTAGTTCTCGCGTAATAGATCTGCCATGCGTCTACAATGAATTCTTTGCACAGCAGAGGGCACTGCACGATTTTTATGTTGAAATTCTCGTCATTTTTTATTTGGAGATCCAAGTATATATATGTGGATCCAGGAAGAAATATCACAAATACCAGACCTTAACTCCAGCTTTCCTAATTGCCTCCAAGTTTTCAAAACTCCCCTTTAATACAGCCAGAGTAAAGTTAGAGTAACCAAAATATCACTACCGAGATTGAACGATGATGAACAAGGTGTACATGTCTGTCACCTGAAAGTACTTAGCATCTGTCAAGACACTGAGACATGCAGCTCCACCTTTTTCATAAGATTGAGCAACTTCCACCTGTTCAGAACATTTCAAGATTTGTTAAGCAATCTAATAACTTTAATCAAATAAAATAGCACATCACATTCAAGTGTGTCAAAATCAACTTCAAGCCTCACCGAATCAGGACAAAATAACGGTATGGCTAATTGGTTCAGGCATATGAGCAAACTACTCAATTTCAACAGAGTAAATAGCATAGCAATTCAAGGGTGTCAAATCAACTTCAAACACAAAAGAATTCATAAGAATGCCAGCATGGCTAACTAGTTGAAACATATCAAGCCACCCAATTTACCAGATTCAACGGTTTCAGATCAAACTCCAAACTTTCATACAGAAAATGTCAATTTCCGCGACAAATGGGCAGTATTGCTAAACATAACAAAGCTATTCAATTTCAACTGATTAACAGCATAGCAAAATTCAACATTGGGTACTTACAGGATCAAAATTCTCTCGAAGGACTCCTCTACTAGGAGAAGCCTTCTTCACTTCCGCGATCAAACCCGGAAGCCCAGTTCGATGGTTAGCTTCTCTCAGTGCTCCGACAAAATCCCTGGTTGGAAGAGCATCTTCCATAGCTTTCTTTAGAGTGTAGATGGGCTTCCACTGTTTCAACTGTGGAAAAACAACAACCAAGCTAAAGCACAAAACCCAATAGCAAACAACCCCATAAAAAAAAAAACACAATCAACTCCAGGTGCAACATGTTTCAATGTACTTGATGGACTTCATTGTCTTTGTGCCACACAATCTCCTCCAGAATGTTCCTGGGAGTGTTGCCTTCATTCTGAATCCTGAACTCAAAGGGACCGACGTAGTGCAATGGTGGCCCGGTCGGTGGCTGTCTCCTGATCCTAATCCCTTGGCTTTCCGCCAACTCGTTTTGAAGCATCCCAACTTCCCATTCTTTCGCTTTCAGAACAATCTCAGGCTCTTCCCTCGCCGCCGACGATGCATCCATCGTGTCAGGCTGCACAAATTACCCCCATGAATGTTATAAAAAAAAAAAAACCTAATCGCGTCTGAAATAGGCCGATGGAGAAACGGCTCCCCAAGAACTCAACTTTAGCGGACAAATGACTCTCGTCCTAAACCAAATTTCAGTGAACCCTTGATTTAGCTAGATGGGTACTCAGTACTCACCTGTTGAGCTCGAATGGAGGCAGCGGCGGTGGAGAAGCGTTTGACTCTGGGGAGAGTGACCTGGGAACGGCGGATTGAGAAGGTGGGTCGGCGGGGAAGAGACCCGATGGCGGCGGGGTGGGAGGAAGCACTGGATTTCATGGAGACCAATCCCTCCATTTTCAGAGCTAATGAAATCTAGAATTGATGTCAAGCTCCGGATTCGAATATTATTAGACTGGTGGCTGCTGTCGTCGAATTCGCGCTTGAAATGAATGGTGTAGGCAAAAAGGCATGTCGACCCGCCGAAATGCGCCAAATATAGGGCCTTTCTGTTCGATTTATTGTTAAGATGATTTCTATCATTAGCAATTTAGCATTAGGGCGAGGATGGAAGTTTGGTTTGTAGTTTGTGGATAACCAAGGTTCAAGAAGGCGTTAGATGTAAGGTGCGCGTTGAAATTTTGTCTAGCGTTTAGCTCGTCTAGGCGTAGATTAAGTGTGTCTAGGCGTTGGAAGAAAAATAGCTATTCGCACTGTATGATGAATGAATGAATAATCTACAACACTTTCTCACTTCAATTAGCTAGCTTGTTGTCTGACCCGTTGGTCGGAATGTCATTGAATACAATGTATGTATGATGTGTATTTAAAAATTTTAAATAACTTGAAATGCTGAATTTCATATGACATTAAGGTGACATCAAAATTATTTTTCCATTTTCAAAATTCTTATAACTTTTCATCAATTTTGAACATTGTAAGCTTAATTGTTATAACCAAAGTTGTCAAACCGGTTTAACTTGTGGAGCCGGTCAAGCAAGTAGTTTGAAGTTTAATGATTTGATTGAGGTCCAACCTGTTTGAGGCGTTTTACACATTTTCTAAATACATTTACATATAAGATAGAAATTTAGTGACTGAAATGGAATGTAATAACTTATATCTATTAAAAATTCAAATATCATAAGAAAACATACTTATTTCAAGATCCACCCATCATCCTCTTGCCTCTCTCTCCCCTCCCCCTTCCCTCTCTCTTCTTCTCCTTCTCTAACGATCAAACACTGGTTTTATAGAGCCGGTTTTGGAACACGACTTTGGTCGGACCTAGTCCAACCAGTTGCCCGATAGATGTGTAACAACCTTGGTTATAACACTCGTGAATAACCATTCATAACTTGTAAATTTAATGATGTAGTCACTCTGAAAATAAAATTGACATAAGAAAATAAAAGTTTGTCTGTAAAAGTTTGTCTGAATAGAAAACTCTTGATCATAACCTTTATTCAATATGTATTTCTTATGATTGAGAAATAATACATATATAACATTATCTAAACCTTAAAGTATTATGCACAAATTAGTAAGAAAATAACATTTTCCATCCATACTCTATGCAATAAAAAAATTATTTATCAACCGACATACTCTAAATTTAGTTGAAGTACAATCTTATTCACTCAACAAAAAAATTAAACCTATCTTGTGGTACCTACCTTGCTAATGCACATGACCACATCAATGCGTCCATGAAAACTCCAGCTCTACTTTCATGATTTGTCTTGTACTCCGGTTATTTCATATTAAACTTAGTATCTATAAATAACACATATGGTCAGTTACCCTATAAGATAAAAGATTTAAATAATTGAAATCATCTAGAAAAATTGGTATTCAGAAATTTTGTTCTTTTAAACTCACCAATTTGTCCAATCATGCCATATTATCAAGAGAGTGAGGATTTAACAGTAAACTAAACTAAATTTTTTAAAAAGCTGGTCACTTACCGTTTGCATAATAATATCGTTGCTTTAATAGTTCTAAAAATTAATACCAAGTTAAGAATTCTACATCACATCTACACATTCAATACTCCAATTCAATATGTAATAAAGTACTAACGGGAAAGTTAGTGGGCTAGCTAACAGTAGTGGAAAAGCCGCATGATTATTAGATTTCAGGTTTTTAGATTTTTTATTTAAAAAGATACAAAATATTTCATTAGCGTAATTGGTAATGGTTGTTGTTTTAGTTTGGAAAGACCATGGTTCAAATCCCGAGATTGACATATTTTTTTCTTATGAATAAAAAATAAATAATGATTGTGAAGACACAATTACGAGAGCATGAAATTTGAAATGCTGAAAAAACTGCCGCCAACTCGGCTATAATATATTTGTAGAAATGATTAATAACTTACTCAACACTTAATGACAAGAACATAACTCACAAAGTTCTTGAGCTATTGAAAATATTGATATAAAAAATTTATTTCGTAGTTGACGTTAATTTCCTCATATAATATTGACTTCCTAGCTCCATCAAGTTATGTTTAGGAGAGACGTAGATGTCGCCTTACTCCATTAACGTGTTATGTATCCAACTAGACGGGAAACCTTTAAACGAGGCGTTTTGCCATTGCCTTGTGCCTAGACGTGTCTAAGCGTAAGAATAAGCATGCCTTTTTGAACCATGTGGATAACTAGCAAATTATATCAACCCATACATTTTGTAGTTAACTTCATTCATAAGTTGTCTCCGGTGGGTTGAGTGTGGTTATTCGCAGCAGTTTATCCACAAAATTGACAATAACCACTTTAGACTAATGAATTTGTGTTTGACCGACTTCTAACCACAACAATTAAATCACAAAATCCACTATAACTACATTAGACTAACAACATTTTGTTTTCCCTTTAATTTCATATTGATTATTAATATTTTATAATGCAAGGAGCAAAACTAATGTCGTAAAGACTAAAATAGCTCTTTGGCATGGTGAAAGCTTATAGCGTGTGATATTAATTTGCATTAGGTAGACTTTCCTCTCTTTCTTCTCTTTGATGCATAGTAATTCGAATATCAAATACTTTTTATATCCACAAACAACACAACATTACATCTCTATAGTCCAGTAAATAGTAGATAATTCATTGGTGGAGGACCACAAGTCGCTTCGCACATTGAAAGATAAAATTTTGCATGTAACCACAATCTAACCGCACCAACCTGCAGTGGGTAGCAGGTAATCTAATCACTAACCACTGCGGTGCGATTACGTAGTTAGCATAATCATTACCCACAAAATTTGGATCGGGTAACCACACCGCAACAGTTTCCACCGTTGATAAAAAAAAAAAAATTTGCTTCAACGGACGACAGATGAAGGATTAATTGGATAGCAGTCCGTCCGAGAAACGGCCGCCCATTGTCGATGACTAGCCAAATAGAATACGGCCGCCGGGATTGACTGGACCTAATGCCGCAGCCCATAGACGGTCGGACAGGACAGTCTCGAGATAGAATACGAGATGGACAGACAGAGACCAACCACTTCACAAAGATGACGACAGAGAGTGAATCGGGGATCTATCTGGTAGTATGGGTCGGATAATTGTCTCATGCGAGGAATACTTGTCGATAAGACGTGTGAAGAGAGAATTGTCACTAAAAGCAAAAGATGTGAAAGTTGAGGTTACTGGCTTTGAATTCAAACAACGATGGCATGTCACAAGAGTATGACTAGGAAGGTTTGTTGGTTCAAGGAGAACAAGTTAACGGTTCACTTTAATTTACCTAGTATGTGATTTAAGTGATTATGCTTAAGTTATTAAGTACTTTGATCATTTGTTCCATTTATATTACGTGATGGGCAATGGCGGAGGCAAGATTTGAAACTACCCCTATCCTCTTTTCGTATTATAAATACTAGCTTATTACCCGGCCCGTTGGCCAGATTATTGTATGTTACCCACTTGTGGAATAGGAGAGAAAGCAAGTGAGAGTGAAAGGATTGGGATTCCACTTGATTAGGACCGACCCACTAATCCGATTCTTCCCGACCCGCCCCAACCTAAAGGGTCAGAAAGAGTCAATAAGAAAATACGAACGAAGAGGATTAGTCATATTCATATATCTTGACTCTTCAGAAGTGGGTCAAACAGGATCAAGGTTGGGTGAGGGAAATTTTTAGCGCTAAGCAGAGTTCTGGGTTGAATAACTTTACTTAGGCCTAGAAATTGGTGTTGATGCAGACTGCAGTTTTTATTATACCATCATCAATCATCATTGAATTAGTTTTGGGCATCCCTCCCCGTTGTCGGTATGAATTCTTATGATGGCTCCGTTCCTTGCACCAGCCTTATCAGCGAGTTATCATCTCGAGCATGATTTGCCTATGTACAAATGATACAATTAGAGTATGAAACTGAATTCAAAGAAAAGGAAAAGATATTTCTATCACATGCCAATAAATACACACATAATAGTTGAAGCTAAGTGAAAGTCATTACTCGCACATCAATTCTAAAAAATTACAGACTAAACAATGGCTAGAATGGCACTGAAACTACCTAGAATCATGGACGAAACAACTTGTCAAATTAAATAATCCTTATACTAAAACTACCTTCTAACTTGAAATAAGACATGATCATAGTTCATAGCTCTCTTCTCACTATGAATTGGTTGCAGCTCGTCCTTATCACTGCCTCCCAAGCTCAATTCAAGCAGAATAGAGACCATTATGTAAGATAACCATATCCTTACTGATCATAATTCCTTTCTTCACTCCATTTTTGTCAGAGAAAAGAGTTACCCCCCCTCTCCTGCATTTCCCTTTCCCCCTCTCTTCTCCCTCTTCTTCACAAACCAATCCCTAAACCAGCAACAACAACACAAAAATAGCCTTCGCCTCTGCCATCTCCATCTACTGAACGCGTTGGTGGCAAGACAGGACTGCAGAAGCAAAATTTTCTAAAATCAAACTAAATTTTTTGAAGGAGACTCAACCACGAAAAAATAGTAAAGCAACAATGCTAATAGTTCAGATGGTTGGTTTTGATGTTATACATTGCTTTTGTTCTGGTCTCCAGTATATCAACTGCAATAGAGATGTTTCCTCCAATCATCTTTAGTGCATGATTTAGAAGCAAGTCCTCCTGTTTGTGTCAAACGGAAACATTCATGGGTTCTTAACTCCCCTGTTAGTGTACAGCAGCAACAACAAAGAAGTTTGACAACACAGCAAGCACCCAGGCAAAATGATACAATGCAGTAGGTGATATGTGTCTCGAAGGTTTTGAGTTACTAAAGTTCATGTTAAAAATAAACATGAATTAAAATGGATTATTCTATTAAGCAAACACCCCCTCCAATCATACAAAGATCAGATATCC